GGCAAAGCAGTTAGAGGGAAGAAAAGAAGGGGAGCAAAGATATGAAAATATCATCAGAGGACTGGAAAGCAGCTTGATTTCTGCTCCTGCAATCCTTATGTAAATACTGTACACATTCTCAAAGAGCACACACTCACACACACACACACACATATACACACACAAACACTTCTGGCATCTGTCTGGAGGTGAGATCAACTAGATCGACCACAGAGCTTGGCTCTCCCCCACTGGCTGTCCTCGTTCTGCAGCTCTGCAGAGGTGAAACATCATCAGCGTGTTGGTTTTGGAGGCTTTCTGATTACCTCCGAATACTTTCTTCAAGCAAACCATTATGGAGGAAAATATTATGCCTTTTCAGGGAGTATTAGGGGTATTACTGCTCAGCTGCATGTGATGGCGATCAACCCACAATGCAAATATTGTCTTCCTCTATCTGGAGTTTTCAATCCCTACTATGAAAGCAAAGTGCTCCAGTTTGGGAATATGCTGTTAATCCATGCTGCTGCATTTCTTTACAATATGACAAACCTGATGAGATGCAGAGGAGACTTTTTTTTTGTTGTTGTTCAGTTCGCTGGCAAAAAATTGCTGTTTTGGTGAAAAGCTCTGTCTGGGTGGCACAAATCCCCTGTCAAATGCAACAGGTTGAAGCTAACCTTGTGCAAGTCCACGCACATGCACACACATAAACACACACATGACTGGAATGCAGTATTAGTGGCTAAGCACAATTGTCCCTCATCAAAGGGTGGAAATACTTAACATTTCTAACAGTAAAAGTAGGAGCAAGTGTGTGTGTTAGCAGAAGTTAAGGATTATTGTATAACCATGTCACCCAGTGGTTTGAACAACAAAATAGACCTAACAATGCTGTTTTAGATCAGATTTTTAATTGGATGCTGCATTCCACTTCTACATGGCATATTCTTTGCGTATGACATAATCTGATGGGATTCTTAACTGTGTTTTGACTCATATGTGATTTTTACTGTAGCCTAAAGTAACAGAGCCACAATCACTGTCCTCTTTAACAGAATCTAAAGGGATATTTATGTAAAACAGACATTAAAGTTATCTGCCTCGCTTTTTTGGAATCAATGCATGACTTTTTAACAACGGGCAAGGAATAAATGTGCTCAGATATGGACACTTCTGCAGCAGTGTTGTCAGAATAAACACATAAGAGCAGACTGACCAGACAAGACTGCAGTGCCTATTTCGCAGGTTTTGCCTTAAGGAGTGCAAGCAGTTTCTCATTTCCTCTCATTTCAGCTGCAGAGAATATGCCAGACCATTGCAAAACTGGATGAAGACAGTTCGGAAGTAAATCAAGAGTGAAAGGACTATGATGGCATTTCAATTCCTTTCTATTATCACTAATGATAAATGTCATATAAATATGATCTTCGGGGTGCTTGTAAGATTTTCCCCTCTCCGTCCCGCTGTTAATAGAAGTCCAGTGAGGTAAGGCACTGACGTGGTTAACCATGCACTGCTCATTGTATCTGTAATAACCCCGGGACAGCACAATTGCTGGTTAATCATACACCCTCTGTACACTGTAGCTTGTGTCTGTCCATGCTATCTGAGTGTGTCATAGCATGCAAACAGCCTGGCAGAGCTACTGCACTTTGGACTCCTGTGTGTGAGGACAAAGCACTGAAACGCAGGGTGAAGCAAGTGCAGCAAGCAAGCACATGATTTTGAATCACACTATAAAATTGTTGCTCGTGATTGAAAGAATGAAGGGAGGAACTGAGAGTGATTGATGATGACATGCATCCCATCACCTATTCTCGGCCCCAAACTTTTATCCTGCAGTCGTTTAAATGTTCTAACTAAGATGTAGCCTGAGACTAAACTCCGTCACAATGGGGTGTGTTTGCCTGACCTCCAGTCTATCAGGGTCCAGGGCCCCGTTTGGTTTACCAGGCCCAACTAACAATGTTTGCTCTGCTTTAAAGCCTCTCTGTTTGCTTTCCCCTTCACTGGAGCGACCACCTCTTGGTCTTTGCAGCACTCAAGTCCTACCACATTTGGGGTCACCGCAGCCCGGGGCTCGGCCCACCCAGAATGCAGTGCCTCAGCCGACAGAGATAACACAACTGTTCAGGTGGTTTCTTGCAAAGATGTCATCCTACCTTTTCGCAACACACACACATACTGCTTATCTACCATTTGATGTGGCTCTGAGATCTCCCGTCAGATAGGCAGCTTCTCTCCGTTTGCCAGCTCTTACCTAGGTTTGTCAAGCTTTCCCTTGAGGACATCATAAAATGAAATAACATGTCAGGAGAATAAAGGAGTGACTGTACTTTTTCTTTAGCTGGAAGCCGTGAATTATCCATATGTTGTCATCAAAGGTGATAATTACCTGACAGATTTATTTCAGAGGGTATCACAACCAAATGCATAAATAAAGAGGGTGTCAGAGAGATTAGACAAACAAGTGAAAAACAAAACAGTGAGCTCTCAAGGGAAACTGTACCTACCTCATTTGTATACTAAACATTGATCTTAAAACTGGTTATCGGCCCATTGAAGTTACAGATTTTTGAACTGGCGTCTTGTTTTCTTCATTAGCCTGTATAGGCAGTTAACTGTGGCACTGATTTGCACAGTAATAGCCTCAACTTCACACATCTGTGATGCAAATAAGCTGCGATGATGTGCCACAAGATTGCATAGGTGTAGATTTCAGGTGGGATGCAGGGGGCACATCCCCATCAAAATTCAGAACCTGTACATTTGTCGCCACCACACCAAGTAAAACCATTAAAGTTGCAGAAATTAAAGACATTTCCATCATAAATCGTTTCAGAGGAGGCAGAAGTTGACGCATAAAAATTCTCCAAGTGTTAGATTCTCAAAATTTTCCGGGGCGGGACCCTGAACTGCCTGTTTCACGTATGTACGGGGGGTTCATGTCAAAACGAAACTTACGCCCTCACAAAATCCCAGATCGATGATGCCATCATTATCTCCTGCGCCAAGGATGGAGTCAAGTTCTCCGCCCAAGGAGAGCTGGGCACAGAAAAAGTCAACCTATCCCAGCCCAGCAACATAGACAAAGAGGATGAGGTGGCTACTATTGAGATGAACGACAAAAGTAAAGACATGTCCACCATAAATCGATTCAGAAGAGGCAGAAATTAATGCAAAAAAAAAAAAGAAAATCTCCAAGTGTTAGATTCTCAACATTTTCCAGGGAAGGACCCTGGAGCCCCTGTTCTATGTGTGTTGGGGAGCCCATGTTGAAACCAAACCCACACCCTCGCAAAATATTAGAATTTAATCACTGGCTACGGTTACATGATGGCTTCTCATTCGGAATGAAATAAATCTGAATGAAATCATTAGGAATTAAAGTCTTTCCAGGTAGTTTACATGGGAAATATTCATTCCGAATGAGAGTTTACACGGGAGGTGAGTTTAATCGCCTTTATTCAGGTCTGCGCAAGGTTTGGGGCAGGGAAGGTTTCTGATTGGATAGGGGGCGGGGCGGATGTTACGTGTTTACGTTTACTGGAAGAAAACACTGTAGTCCTCGCTCCAGATAACAAGATGCTTGACAACGCCGTTCTTAGTGTCTTTTTCGGGCGTGTTTTGCTTATATTCTTGAAGCAGCAGTAGCCTACAACAACAACCTTGTTCTGCTAATGCTTCGTCTGTTGAGGAGGAGAAGGGAGATAGAAGACCGTGCTGTGGCGAATGGAAACCGGTGAGTGCAAAGAGTCCGACTGCTCTATCTCAGCCCGTTGCTATGCAGCCCGTTGCTATGCGCGCTATATACGTCATCGTGCCAGAAGGGCAAGGAAACAAGCATGCTCAGAAAGACCGGAATGAACTTAAGGAGGAATGAGTGTATACATGCACACAAAATTCTTTCATTCGGAATGACAAACGGAATAAACCACCCCCTTTAATCGGATTGAATTTTCAATCGGAATGACCGTTTACATGACCACTGTTAATCGGAATGGCCTTTCATTCCGATTAAAAGTGGAATTAAACTGTGCATGTAAACGTACTGAATGTGATGACATAGTCAAACAAATTTATGACATGAACTGTTTGCATTTATTATACCCCATTTAGGCAGTGGTTAGCATTGTCGTCTCACAGCAAGGGGGTTGCTAGATCGAACCCGGGTTGGGGGGTTCGAACCCCAGGGTGGAGGAGCCCCTCCGTGCCAAGCACGCCTGTTCTCCCTGTGTCAGCGTGGGTTTTCTCCAAGTACTCTGGCTTCCTCCCACAGTCCAAAGACATGCAGGTTAATTGGTAACTACATTGGTCATAGGTGTGAATGTAAGTGTGAGTGGTTGTCTGTCTCTATGTGTACAGGCTGTACAGGGTGTAACACACCTCTCGCCCAGTGTCAGCTGGGATAGGCTCCAACGACCCCCAAGAAGATAGGCGGTTACGGAAAATGAATGAATGACTAGCCTCTTTATCTTGATATCAAAAACAAGAAATCAAGCGAGCTGTATTTATGCACCATATAATTCCAGGTGGAGGCACAACGCCTGAGCCAACATGAAAGTTGCAGCCACAAACACCGTGTGGACAGTGTAGAGATAAAACATTAGACCTAAGTAAACTCAGTCAGAACAGACCCATAACTAATACATGGGAGTTAAGCCATTAAAAAGTAGGACTGGAAATAATAAATATCAATAACAGGGTTGTAAACTTTAGACAGCATCTATTATAAGATAAACACAGACAATATTAATGTTTTCCAGCTACTAGTTATTATTTGCTTTTTGATACCCACCAGCAGCAGCAGTCTTTTATTTATCCCTACATGACAGCAGCAACATCTGCAGAGCTGTGATTTACAAATCCCAACAACACCTTTGTTATAATGGTCGGGGGGTGTTATTAGTTGAGCCTGCTTGCTGGAGTGCAGGATGATCACATGAGGCCTTTAGGGGGATGGGCAGAGTTTTCAGAGGGTGGTATGGCTTTAAGAGTTTACTACCATCCCTGCTCTCACTCACCGCTCACACTCACTCACAACACAAAGTTTTGGAGGCCAGGCGAGCAGTGGGATACCGACGGATAGGAAGTGACGGGACTGCATGAATTGCAGAAGGCAGAAAAAAAGCAGACGGGGATATCAACACAAAGCAGAATGAGAAGCAACATGCGATCATCGGAGTATTATTGGCTGTAGCGCAGAGGGGAACTGAAATGCGCATGATCTTAACAACAACGCCGGAGCGAGAGACTTTCAATGGGGAGTGAACTCAGCTCCCACAAGTGAAAAGCAGAGATTTCAGTCAAAGGGGGGGAGAAGATTGTCGTATGATTTCCATGACCGTGTGTGAGATTGTGGAAAGTGCTGGCACACGGGGGAGCATATGGAAGCGCGACCTGTAAACTCCACTTTGACTATGAAGGAAAAGACTTTAAGAAAACACACAGGGGAATAGTTAAGGGATATGAACGCAGATCTTTTGATTTCACCTCGGTTTTTTCCTCTGTCCGGTTCAGTTTTGCGTCTTTGGGGATGTTTGCGAGTTGCATCTCTGCGGCTTCAGTTCGGATACTGACCCGTCTGTGCGCCCTGGTGCTGGTGGCCGCTGTGGGACTCGGGTCAGAGCTGCGGGTCCGGGTCCGGCTCGCTGACGGACTGGTGACCGAGGAGGTCTTGGAGGCGGACACTGAAAGAGACTCGATATCACTCGAATTCAAGCAGGGAGATGGGACACTCATCACTTTTGTGGCGGACTTCAAACAGGTGAGAGGTGGTTTTGTTTACCACTCAGACTAAACGCTGTGGTGCGTTCAGGGAACGATTTCCTCCCCTCATTCAGACACCCTGGTGAGGTGTGTGAGATGTAAATTTAGCCTGATGAAATGTGGAAGGTGTCAGTTTAGATGCAAATTTAGCCTGAACCAGAACTTTGTACAATTGCAATTCTTGGTCTCCAAAATGAAGGTTGGGGCCCATGTGTGCGTTGTGGGGTATCCAGTAGTGATAAATACATTACATATTGTATTAATTAATCTAATAGCAAATTGATTGTAGTCAAATACAGTTAATTTAATGTTAAATGCCATTCTTGATAGAATCCAAAAAGACTTACTCCTTGTTTTTGGGACTTTTGGGCTTCTTTGGGAACCACTGATTTAAGTTCAGTCACATAACAATTTCACCTGGTTGACGCTCCCAAATCTGAGGGTGTGTGTAAGTTTCACATGACCATAAAGCCCTAACAAATCCAAGTCATGTCCCTACGGGTAACAAAAGCCCCAAAACAGTGTGATAGCTGGGGGTAAATAACCATTTTCTCCACACCTTTCATCATCTCCTTCCTTGATCATCTCAAGAGGTCAGCTCCAAATCTATATCCTATCAGTGCTGGCATAAAGTAACCCCAGTGGCCTCCTGGGTCAAGCTAAATGGTTAAAGTAAAAGCCAAAAATGCAGTGTGAAGCTCAAAGGAAAACATCCCAAAAGCCTAACCCCGCCTCTGGAGCAGATATTGTAACTCACACATATACTAAAGTAGCACTTGGTAGTAGTTTCATTCATCTTTTTCCGTCCCAGCTTGAGTTTCACGGAGGTCAAGACAGCTGCTGCTCCTTAGATGTGGACGTCCACACGCCACAGTGGCCTTAAAACCCCGGCTGCTGACGGGTCTGGCCCAAGAGCTGATCATCAGCGGCCATATTTAGCATTCTTCTAAAAGTAGAGGAGCAGAGCGAGTGTCCCTCCCCGAGCAGCACTGCACTCACGATTTTTTGGAAAGATGACACTTGTTTCACTTTTGACAATGACCACTCGGAGACACATAAATGTCAGTCCTGGAAGGAAAACTACAACTGCTGTGCATAAGGGAGGAGGAGGGTGGTGGTGGTGGTGGTGGTGGTGGTGGGGGGGGGGGTTTACAGAGGCGCACAGAGCAAAGGCATGTGTCTGTGATGGTTGCTGTCACACAGAAGCTGACAGGCTGGCGAGATGTGAAGGGGGAGATTTACCAGGATTAAGTGGGCATGTCTGACCTTTTTGATCTGCACGTCTGGTTCACTAACCAAAACAGCTAATTTAGAGTTGAAAGAGAAGAGGCCGTCACCCCCAATCATTGGTGACACACCAATATAAAGAGACATACACTGATCTGTGAGCAGAGAGCCTTGTGCTTGGTGCCATGCTGCTGTGTCCCCTCATGCGTGCACACGTCCCTGCACACGGGCATACATATGCACATGTGGTTTTGTTTATTTGAATAAAGTCAACACGACTTCTTAGATCATTTTACTTCTCCGCCGCTTGATTTATCTGTTCCAGTTGTAGGTTGGCCTCTCTGCCCCCCCTTTCTCTCTGTCTCTTTCTCCCCCTGTCCCCCCGCTCTGTCTCTTGCTCACTTCTTCCTGCTCTCTCCTCCGTTTCTCCTGCATGTGGTTTTCATTCAGCTCTTGTGCAGTATCTCCAAGATTTATGGAAAGTTGGAAGAGCTGTCACGTCCAGCTGCCATGAATATACAGTCCAAATGAACGCATGTGGGAAGAAGAGTGTTTTAACAGGGATGTTAGACACGGGAGATTTATAATGAAATACACAGCCAAAGGTGGATAGGTGCTGTGCAGGTTAAAGTACTGCTTGGAAGAGTTTTTCCTGCTGAGTAAACAAGCATTTCCCTTGTAAACTTTTTTTTTTAATTCATCCAGAATTGAGGTCTGTGTCATAATGTTTGCTATGACTGGGATCATTAAAAAACCTCTATAAATAATCATCAGACAGCAGCCGTCTTGCTCTTGTCTGCTTTGTGAATACGTGGCAGAGATGTGATGGTAAATGCTATAGCCATTAGACGCCGGCGGAGTGGTCTGCTGGATGTGAGAAGGAAGTTTAGTCAACCTTATCCAAGCAGTGAATCACTGTGAGAATCAGCGGCGCTGTGATTTCAGGAGGGTTACGTTTGTTCTGAAGGCATGTCGACATATGGAAAAGATGATGTGGTTTAGCTCGCTCGTGACACCCCTGCGTCAAGTCGAGTAAATCTCACTGTGTCGATAACATCGTGTATTGAGTTCAAACCCCTGAAGAGCTGCACTATTAACATTTTTGTGAAGGAAAGGTCTCATGAGGAGGAGTCGATCATCCTCTCTGTAGGTTGCTTAACTTGCTAAAATCTTGAGGGACTTGTTTGTAATCTCACACTACATCATTTCAATCTGGTATCACGGTGAAGTATTTACAGCCGAATGCACTCTCAATTATGTCAAATTGCAGCAATCTGTTTGCAGCTCAGCACACGCTCAATTTAAATGTACAGGTTTTTTTTTAACACAAGACAAATCAGATGTGTTGTTGTAGCCTTGAATAGACAGTCCCTCTTAAGTCATTTGCCAATTCAGTGCAAATCAGATTTTTTTTTTTTCCTTCGGCAACCACTGCAACAATTTATGGTCTAACAGTCTAAGACCTTGAGCTGAACATAAACCATGTCTTGGAGTTTAATCCAAGGGAAATGTCTCACATATTTGAGAGGCTGTTCTGGCTCTTTCCAGATGTAAAAAAACTCTGTCAGAGGAGCTAATCAGTTTATTCTCTGTGTGTCGTGCTTTCATGTCTAACTAGTGGGTTTGATCAATGCAGGAATGTGAGTGACTTCACAGGCCTCTCGGCTGAGTTAGCACAAGAGGAAGGTTTAATTTCTGGGATGCAATGGTGCACATCCTCGTGCATCTTTTGTTACATGCACCTTGGCTCTTTGAGAAATCATGTGCGAGAGCTTTAACATTTTTCGATGTGTTTTGATGTATTTAAAGACAAATATACCAGTAAACATTTGGCTATGGTGATGCAGAATAATTTGAAAAGGCTGTTTAAATTTGAAAAGCTTTCCACCCACACTAGTGTTTTGAGATCACATTCTCACAGTCCGCTGTCCTCACAAAAATAGTGGGAAAGTGCTTAAACAATGTCTTTTGGGGACGCGTAAGCCACTTAGGCCAACTGAAGTGAACCCTAAAGTTTCATTATTGCTATCCATAATACAACATCAAACCATTTTCAGAGTAACCCACTTTGGGAAGTATTTTTCTGTGCTGGAAAAGTTTTAAATGTACCCACATCAGTGCAGACATGGCATGAGAGTGACCCTTTGCCATGCCGATGGGTCACGGGAGCAACAGATGTTGGAGGCCACTCGACACTCACTGTCTCACACTATCATGTTAATGGCTCTGGATTTTGTAAACAGTGGCACCGTGGTGAGAATGAGTGCATCGGCCATGTTATTGATTCTCATTTCATTTCGGCCTCATAAACAGGATCGTGTTTCAGCCGGGATCTGATTTACCCTCAGCTCGGTTCACTCTAGTGTATATTCTGATTGTCTTCAAAGCACAGAGGCTTTATGGATACGCCCAACAGTGAGCTTGCTGTAAGAATGAATTGGAGATTCTTCACACACCCTTATGTGCTCTGTCAAACACAAGATGAGAGTTGGGGGTGGGGGAGGCAGGTTGGTCGGCCTTTCTTTGTGCCCTCCCTTTGGGGTATATAGCACAGTTTCTATGATCCATTTTGGCATTCTCATACGCCCATGGATCACCCATTAAATGTGTTCAAATGGATTTGGGCTGTGATCTTTATTAGCTATTAGGTAAACCCTCTCCTGTGTGGGAGGCTTTCTGGCAACCCATTTTGTTCTTTTTTATTTGTGGGAAATGCCGATGTTTGCCAAATGAAGCAACTGCCGGTTGTTTTTCCCTGATGGCAAGTACTGTGCATCAGTGGCATGTTGGTGCAGTGCCGTCACCACATTCTATGTCTTGCTCTTTTTTCGTTGGGCTGGCACACCTTGCCTCTTACTCAACCCTGAAACACCATACCACTTTGTCACTTGCACAAACTTGTCTTTTTTTTTTTTTTTTGTTACAGTTAAGTGTCACCTGTTCTGGGAAATGTTGTTGTTCTTTTACAGACACAGTTGAAGACACATTACAGGGGCATTATAGAGTTTTCCTCTCCCCCATTGTGAAAGGTTGGGAAAGGTTACAGTGAGTCATCTGCGAGTCACCCAATGCTGCGTGAAATCATCCATGTGAGGAATTGTCCCCAGACAGAGTGAAAATGAAACACAACTGAAAATAGACTTGAGTCTATCCTCCTTAACCCCAATAGATGCTCAGATATTGGAGCCCTTGTTTACGTTGCACAGCACCTTAGAAGACCTCTACTCCTACTCAGTTTTCCTTTCCATGCTGTGGCTTGTTTCCGTGTGGGAGAGCGAAGTTCCACAGATAAGTTGCTGCATTGCAAAACAAGATGTGTGATTCACAGTTACCGTGCCGCTCCTATTTGTATAAAGTGATATCTGTTTGACATGAAATTGATCACATGGAGGAAATTATTTCAGATATGGGTTGTTCTGTCTCTTTAATTGCAATTTGTGCAGGCACTGGACCTATTCAAAGATGAACCCATATGCTTAATCTTCCCCCTAGCCACCCTTTGTTCACTGCTGACTCTGAATCCCAGGAAATAGCTTCTTCTTTGGCCTTGTTGTGGCCCTGCAAGGCCCCCACATGGGCCCCCTTTGGCCTCTCGTGGCCCCGCGGCCCCTGTTGATGTCTTTATCCTTTATCCTCCTCCCACCAGCAGGCCAGATGTTCGTCTGTAATGCCACTGATAAAGAAAAAGCTTCCCATTCCCACAGTCATGCAGGGAGAGCGGACACAGCAGAGAGGGACAGCTATCATCCACCTTTTTTAAATTCTTTCCAC